ATTTAGGGAAAGGTCTACAGGGTGTTCAGGGTCTCACTACTAGATCTGACTCGTAGTGATCCACCTGTTTACAGCCTCCCAAGAGCTGGGATTACAGGCTCGTGCCACCACGCCGTCTCAGTTGCCATCTAAGCCTGCCCCCGGGGCAGGGCCAGCATGGCAGGCCAGAGACAAGGTCTTGCTATGCAATTCAGACTCATGGCAGCCTCGTGCCTCAGCTTCCTCCCTAGGGCTGGGGTTACAGGTGAGCACATCCAGCAAGGAGTTTTTTAATTGAAGAAGTTTTTGAAGACTTATTGTTGTTCTGGGGGTCCATTTTAGAGGGTTTTTTTTTTTTTTCTTATTGCATTTAAATGAAGGTTTTATAATATATTTAAGGCTTGCAGTCAAAGTTATCTTTGGAGAAAGAAAATACAAATCTTGTCCTCTTTCATATTCTCTGCTCAAGCCTTGTTTGAAGGTAGTTTTTTGTGTGCTTTTTTTTTTTAATGTATTTGATACAGGGTCTCACTCCCCAACTCTGACTCATAGTGATCCTGTTTTTAGCCTCCCCAGTGCTGGGATTACAGGTGTGCACCACCACTCCCAGTCTCAGTGACTGGCTCAGCAAGCCCCAGGGGCAGGGCTGGGGATTGAATCCCAGTACCTATGCTTGCCTAAGCAGGCACTTAGTCAGCACAGCCATCTCACTGGCTCTTGAAGGTAGATTTTTAAAACTTTCACAGCAGGATGAAAACTAGACATCAATCCCTATACAGCATTCATTTCTTCTAATTTAAAAGAAAGAAAGGAAAGAGAAAGGAAGACAACACACACTCACTCCAAGGGTACCATGGAACCCTATCTTCTTAGATCCTCTGAAAACAGTCAACCCTCTGTTTCCCTGTGCTTTGCTTTTGTTTTTTTTCTGATTAAAGAATGGGCCCTTGAGTAGGGGGAGTTTGTTCTTCTGGATACAGACAAGGCAAGTTGGGGACTCTCATTTCTTGACACGGGCTCAAAGCACCAAGGCCCCTCACCCCTCTGTGCCTCCGTGCCGCTCTGGACACTGTGAGCATGAGCTGTCCCCAGAGAAGGGAAGAGAGCAGTGGTTCAGGCAAAGCAAAGAGGCAGAGATAACAAAACAAGGCACAGTGCTGAAAGAGTTCTACGATTGCCTTCTCAGTAAGATGACCAAGTAATTTTTGTTTCTTTTTTAACTTAACCTGTAATTTCCCAAGTATATGTTAATTTTGCTTTCTATAAATTGGTTCCTCCAGAACACATTTTTCCTATGAATTGAATATATCAAGGATTATAGAGCCTTTTCTTTACAGTTCACTTCAGTGATCATTTGGGGCATGCCTTAGAAGGGGATTATGGGACCCTGATCTCAGTGGCTGCATGTGACTATTTACTTGAGTTGATAAAATTTTAAGTTCCATTATTTATTCACACTGCCCACCTTTTACTCTCTCAAAGCCACATGTGGCCATCACAGTAGACAGCGCAGACTGAGCATTCCAGGGATCATTCTCTGGATGGCCCTGAAACAGATTGCAGACTCACCAAGTATAAGGGCCTTCACTGCTTGCAAGGTGAATCCCTTCATTTGACACATGAGTTGTCCAGCTGGATAGCTGTTGAGCCAGTGAGTGGACTCTCCATACACCACAGGGACACCGGGCTAATTGTGGTGCCATCGCCTGTCGTACTTACCTTTAGGTGTCTGATTATAGTAGGACATTTTAATATCAGATTGACTTTAATCCCTCATCAGCTCCAGTCATATCAGCGTATTATCCCTCTTTAATACCCTGTGTATTCGTTTCTGCCCTGCTTGTTTAGAGAAAGATTTAAGGTCACTCACAAAACTATCCATAACTCAGCAAGAAAATAGCACCAGTTATCTGATAAAATTGAGGAAAATGCTTCGCTGTCCCTTCAGCATGATCCCGGGTGCTTTATAAAACGATGCGGTGTGGGCAGAGAGTACGGCTTGCCACTTTATAAACAAAGGTGCCTGAACTTTCACTTCTCAGTCCAACAAAGAGAGTTTTCCATAAGTTGGCCCCACCCTTTCTATTCAGTTTATTTTTTATTTTTCTTTGAATTTGCCTTGCCAACAATATGACATATTCCTCAGAACCGGAGGCTTTCTCATGGTCTTTCTCTAGTCATTTAGTTCCAGCCAAACTCAATGTTCAGTAAATATACATTTAATAAAGTAGGTTAGTCTCTTCTTTTGAAACCTTTTGAACCTCATTATTTCTCACATGTAAAATGGAGAAAAATCTCAGTCAAAATTATCTTTTTTAAAAAAAGCCTAAATCTACCTATTCACAAAACTAGCTAAAATACATAGTTATGGCATATAGCATACAGGAATGCCCACTCAAATATGGCAATCAGAGGCCAGAGAAAGATGAAAGGAAAAAAAAAATACTAATAAAATTTAATTTAATTTAAAATTAAATTAACAAAAAAATAAGGTCTAATGGGAAGTCTTTAGACCATTTGAGGCCTGCCTGAGAAGGGGATCATGGGACCCTACTCTCTTCCCTTTTCCACTTCCTGGCCATGAGGTAGGTGGTTTCGGCTGGGCCATACTCCTACCATGATATACTCCCTCACTAGAGGCCCCAAACAACAGGGCCAGTCGTGAGTTACTTTCAGGGAAACTCATTTGAGCAGAGATGACACACGGATGCTGTCTAGAGAGCATCTGCTGGCCTGCAGGGACTAGCACTGTTTTGTTTTCATGTAAAGGGCTGTTTCTGCGTGTACAAGAAGCTCCTTCATCGTGATTGGTAGTAGGCTCAGCACATTCCCTGCATGAAGTACTTGGTAAATAACGGAGAGGTGCTGAAGTTCAGACCTCCTGCTGCCAGGCCATGGCCACAGTGCTGTCATTTCCTCCCCTCCTTTGCTCTGTCCTGCTTTCCCCGAGGGTTAACCCTCCCTTCTGTCCGCTTCCACTGTTTCTCTTTTCACACTCAGACATGCTCAACTCTGTCTCATTGAAAAGGAACCAGAAAACTAAAGCCACCTCCCTGCACTTAAGTCCTGGCCTGCGGTCTGCCTTCCAGCCCCACCGTCCTTCTGCTGGCCCAGCTCCCCCAGCAGCGCTGTGAGCTGTGCTCCGCTGCCCCTGAATGGTGGGTGCTCCGGGCTCCCTCAGCTCTAGACCTTCGAGGCCCACGCTGCACTGTTGACCACACCGCTGCTTGCAGCCTACTCCCAGGGGCCTCCAGGACAGACTACCTGCTTTCCCTCCCACCTCTTTGGCTGTGCCTTTTCAGTCACATTGTGAGTGTTCTTTGCTTGCTGTTGCTTAAATACTGATTTCTTCACAGGTGATTCTCTTCTGAGACCACATCTCTCCTCCTTCCCTCAAACTCACCATCTCTAACCCTGACGGCGCTCCTTTCTCCCAACCCTGTCTCTTACTCACCCTTGCTTCTGGTGTCTCTGTAAATGGCAAGTCCACTCCTGGGCTGGTTCTGTAACCTCTCTCTCTCTCCACCATACCAGCACCTGACCGCTGCGCTTTCCTGCTCTCTGGAGTGTGAGTGCTCACCACCTGCCCATAGTCCTTCACGACTGGGGTCTTTGAAAGAAAATATGATAGCCTTAAAGCTAAAGTAGAAATTTAAAGATAACAATATGCAATGTATTCATATTTGCTATACAGAGATTTAACAAGATGGTAGCTATAAATTTATAACTGTAGGGGAACTCTGGATCAATAATATTCTAATAATGTTTATCAGTATTTTTGCCTTAACACTAGTACCTTATTTTAAAAAATAATTTAAAAAAGAGGATTCTGGTATGTTTTACCCAGTCAGTCCTAAGCCACACACACAGCTGTAAACTACAAGTAAACTCCTAAACATTTCTCCTGTCAAACATTTCTCATGTTTTAATTTTAAAAATATTTGAATTAACAGTTGAAAGTTGAACTACAATGCCCACTGGAACTCTCATTTTCACTCTACTAATTGTTTTTAAAAATTCATGGATTTGATCTCTTGAGAGTTCATTTTACCTATTATATTCAAAATATGAAAAAGTGGTACTTAAAAACAACTTAAATGTTTTTTAAAATCTTCGCACTTAGAATTAGTTATGAGTCCAGAATCACAAACTTATCTGGGCTTCTGACTTTAGGGTAATACAATTGTTGCATGCCTTTATTGTACAAAATAAGGGTCATCTCTAACAAAGCCACTGTCTTACTTGACAGCTCTGGAGCCTCCCAGCTCAATTGCCTGGGATTTATACAAGATAAAATTACAGTGTGTGCAACAAACGACTCATATCAGATGACACGAGAAAGAATGACCCAGGCAGAGGAGGAATCCCGCAACCGAAGCACAAAAGTTATCAAACCCGGTGGACCATATGTAGGTTTGTATAGATGTCTTTCTTCCTCTTGATGATTGATGGGAGTAATTGAAGCTCACTGTAGGTAAATACCGGTAATGTTAACTTCATAAAAACAGTAGTTTTCAGAACGTTTTGCATAATTTAACATGGTCCCCCGAAAAAAATCATTCTCTTCAGATTGTTGGTGAATTGAAGGACAGATCTGAGAGTTTTATGACCTCTCTAAATCCAGGCTCCTCTGTTGAGTATTTATTACAATTTTATGGTGCCGGAATCTGTTCACGTTACTCCTTGAGGTGGCAGGAGTGGTACCGCTGTGCTGGCCTGCTCAGTGGATGATGTAATTGCCACGACGGACAGTGTGGCTCTTGTTTTTACACTGTGACAGAGCAGCTCTTACTTTAAAACCTATTAGTTGAATTTCTGAGATGACACCCTTATCACTGTAGATTTTGTATTTTCAGAGGCTCTTTACACACAACAAGGAGTTTCTATTTGCAAAAGCATACAGTGTGCACAGCAAAGCGTTAAAGTAAAGCATTAGGTGATGACTCTTTGGTGCCACATTATGATCCTCAGCCTCATGTAGCCATTAATTAAGAGCCTTCCCTACTCTTCATCTTTGTCATCCCGCACCCTCACATGTGCATCAGCTGGAAGGGAAGCCCGGTGAGTCTCCTTTATGGGCAGTGCCCTGCCAACCGTGAGGAGTCGCTTCCCCGTGACTCTTTCCAGCAGTGGAATGACCAAGAAAAGGATGGGCTCTTGGAGGCCCCGGTCAGTCTCATAACACGAGTCATTAGAGTAAAGGATGAAAGCATAGCAATTTGGAAACTGAAAGGCTTACAAGAAGTCTCTTGAAGAGCCAGATCCTTTAATCAACATCTTTTCAGGCTTAGTATAATTCTTCATCTGTATTTTCCCATTGCTGACCCAACTGCCACACGTTGAGCTTTGAGAAACTCAGCTAGTACCTTTAATAAGTATTTCTTTGGAACAAAGCCAATGCTCCTGGGACCGGATGCTTGGCTTAGATACATTAAGTTTAGTTTCACAACAGCTCCTGGCTTCCCCAGGCATTGGGACCCAGGGGGCCAGTTCCTTGCCTCGTAAGTTACCAACAATGAGCTCTTTACCTTCTCTTTCCTTTTGAGTGAGACAACTTTCAATCTCCTTTCTTTCTCATTTACCCTCATAAGTAACTTAATTAGCGTTGTATGCCAGTAGGCTAAATCTCAAGTTATTTTTAAAATACCTAACATCTGCCACACTTATATTAGATGCAAACTGTACATTATCAGTCCCTGTTAGGAAGGGTTGGTTTTTTCTGTTTCATTTTGGCAGCACCAGGGATTGAACTTGGGACCTTGTGCTTGCCAGGAAGGTGCTTATGCCACTGAGCTGTCTCTCTGGCGCCCAGGAAGGGTTGTTTTAATCTGTCCCATACAACGATTATAGAAACAATGAAGCAGTTGATATGTATAATAAAGGGCTAGAAAACTTCAACTGTCTCTGATTTTTTTCCCTTCCAATATAACTAGCTGAAAACTCAGCTAGATTCCAAAGCTTGAAAATCCACACTGATTTCCAGAGAAGTGCTTATTCCACTGAGCCATCTCCCTGGCCCTCGCACTGATTTCCAAATCAGTGTTTTCTCATCAAATGGCCCACGACTATCCCCTATTTTTATATATTTCTGTTTTGATAGGGTCAGATGCAGTTCAGCAAACTTGTCAATACCTAAAATTCCACATGTTGTATACTTTCTAGTGGTATGGAAATTCAGGAACTTGTGAAGTGTCTTAGAGGCATGATACTGATTGACTAATAGATAGATAGATAGATAGATAGATAGATAGATAATGAGTTCTGAGAGTGGCCACAGGAAGCTTGAGGCTTTCAAAGTTTAAATCTGAACCACATTCTATCTCTACCCTCTTAAGGACCGTCCGTGCCCTACAGCCCTGCAGTGGTGTTTGCCAGCCCAGTTGTCCTGTTCAGCCTTTTCCTCTGCCTTGTCCTCCCTAGGGTGACCACTCTGTATTAACACCGCTCCTCTCTGGGCTCCAGTCTTGTCATTAACCTCTTTAGCTTTTTATTCTCTGGGGCACGTAAGTCCAGCTCCTTTTAACTTTTCTTAATGTGGCCCACGTCCCAACCCTTTAATTATTTTTATTATTCACTTCTGGACTGCCTCCAGTTCTTTGCCTCTGTTTAAACTGGACATCCTGACTCAATAAAAGGCTGAGCAATTCTAATGAATGGTATGGTAGGTGCTCTGAATGGAATTTCTATTTGTCGCTCAAAATTGTGATTTTTTTCACTGTACTTTTTGACGTCATATTGCATTTATCTCTTTTAATCTTATCCACTACCAGACCTTTACCACATATTTCTCTCCTGCTAGCCAAAGTATTTGTATCTTATTGCTTTATTCAGTGCCTGAGAGCTTTCTGGTACATTCAGTTCTTTAAAGTGTTAGCCGATCACTTTGGTACTGTTTCCCAGCACTTACGGAGGCCTTGCACATGGGGCGTTCTTAACACTTTACATGTACTCCTCAGAAGCCACTGTGAACTTGGTTACAAATGTGACTCTATTTTACATAGCAGGCCCCTGAACTCAGCAGAAGGGCAAATGATGTGGGCCTAGCCTCAGGAACAAGTTGTGTTCTCGTCCTGAAACAGCAGGAGATAAGCCTTTCACTCACAGCTGACTGTACCATATGCAGTGACACCAGACTCGCCTGTGCCAGCCTAGGTACCTGCTGAACAAGGCTTCTTTCAAAAGGCAAGGCTCACCTGGGTGAAGGCAGCAGCGACTGGTGCTGGTTCCACTGGGCTGTGCTGCTGGCCTGGTGCCAGGCTGGCCCCAAACAGCTGGAGTAGGGCACCAGCCCAGCTTCAGGGATAGCAGTTTTCCTTGGGGCCTCCTGGAGGTCGAAGGGAAGAGGAACTTGGGAAAAGCCAAACCTTTCACCTAGGCAGCACTACATAGAAGTCATTACTCTTAACTCCTTCAGTAGCATTTCCTCTGCTTGCAACAGGTCAGTGACAAACAGTACCAAACCTCTCACCATTACTTTTCCTAGTTTCTCAGCCTTGAGGCTACTTAATGGCTTCTACCTAAATTATGAAACTTTATCACATTGCAAATCCTTATATTTATTAATATTTTTCTAGGTCTACAAAATAAGCCCAGCAACCTAATATGTAGGATTCTGTTTCCAGTTTTCCCAGCTTCTGCCCTGGTCTCCTTATTTCTGATGGCTTAGCACATAGTAAAAGTAACTGAACAAGTTTATTTACATCCTCATTTTTTCCAGTAGTAAAGGAGGAAGATGTGAAGCAGATAATATCTAAAGTCCTTTGTAGTTTACCATTTTGTGTCTCTTAGGGATAGATATTGATAGTAAACCTTTTGAAGGTGATCACAAATGCCAGATGGAGGAGCTGGATTCCTTTGCAGTGGTTCATGTGTTTAATCATGAGACCACAACGTTGTCATGGCCCTGCTGGTGTTTCTTCTTTTGTTTTTTTAATAAACCTAACTAACCTGCTTAATTTTTTTATGAAAAAAATAAAACAATTTCATAATAAAAGTATAGCAAATTAACATATACCATATATCATTTTCCTCAAAGTTAACTACTTAGTAAAAAACAGACAAAATAGTTCTCTCTTACAAAAAAAAAAAAAAAAAAAACTAGTATATTAGCACAAAACTTCATTTTCAATGAACTAAGAGAAACTGGTAGGAGAAAGCCTTCGGTTCGCATTGCCTGGGCTTCCAGTCAGGTTCTACGAAGCAGAGAAACCACAGAAGATGGCTGCAGCCCCTCTGCCTCTCTGATGGCTGCTCCAGCTCTGCCTTTCAGGTTGTTGTTTACTCGGAGCCACTCAACTGAGGGACAGGCCCTTCTACCCTCCCGTGTCAGAGGAGGAGCGGGGAGTAGACTCCGTGTTGTGAAACAGCACTGTGCTGCAGACCCAGCCCGCCCAGTCCTGTTGGTACCATTGCTGCTGCTGAAGGAGCCCAGGGAATTGATTAGCAGTAGAGGCTGCGAAGAGAATTAGGGTTCCCCGGAGGCTTTATTAAAAGGGATTTTCTGAGGCAAATATTAAAATAAAGCCATTTTGCCTACTTCAAACCTGACATTTTCCTGATTTGCCTCTTCCTTTCTTTAAGGTCTCAATTCTGTAAATATTTACATCATTAATGTTTTCTTCATCTACACCTTGCCTTTCCTTAAATCCAAGGCCACCTGGTTAAAAAGGCACAAAATGGGTGAGGAATCCCTGAGCAAGTAATCTGCATATTATGTGGTAACTCTAGGGCTGGATTGTTCTTTGAAGCGTCTGAAAGAAATGGGCCACCCCATAACTGGCTATCTAAAAGGAAGAGGAGGAAATAGGTGAAGTGAGTATATCGAGAGTGGAGGATTCACAGGGAGATAGCAACCTAGCAGGGGGCTTCAGGTGAGACCCCAACTGTGTCCTCTCCCAGACCGGCCAATTTTTTTTTTAATCAAATTACACTCATTGCCCTCCTAAGGGCAAAGTTTGCCTCCCTCTTAAAAAATCTCTGGTTGCTCCTTGGGATAGTTGGAAGGGTGGTAAGCTGCAGACACAGAGCCCTTCTGAGCCCAGGAGCAGAGGTGGTCAGGCACACAGGAGGAAGCGCCGCAGTTCTGTCACTTTCTACTTTTATTTGTGCTTACTTTACTGGCTCAGTTTCATTCTAAATGGCCAGTCAGTTGGCGTGGTCTGGAAAAGGGTGAGTTAAACAGTTTTCTTTTCTGCAAGACTTGGCAAGTGTGGAATTTAGGGCATTTCCTAACTTTATGACCGTGGCCCTGTTTTTTTCCCCACAAATTCTATTAAATTTTCAAAGAATCAAAATCTTAACACTTTGACAACTATGAACTAGTAGGTTGGAAGTTTTGCTTTTCAATTTTTACTATAAGCTGGTGTTGGTGGTGCACTCCTATAACCCCAAGTGCTTGGGAGGCTCGGGCAAAAGAACCCCACGCTTGAGGCCAGCCGGGCAACTCAGCAAGACTGTCTCAGAATAAGTTTTTTAAAGGCCTGTGAGTAAAGGGAAAAAGAGTAAAGTGCAAGGTTGGGCTGGGAATGTATCTTGGCGGTCCAGGTCTCACTAACAGCGTCACAAAGAAAGGAAAGACTCATTCTGGGCTTTTGGCCTGTCCTCTGGCTCCAGCATCCTCACAGTGCGAAAATGTCCTATTTGCTGTCTGTCACTCACTTAGTTATCAAACACTGATTCACTGTCAGCTGTGGCGGAAGCAGTATAGCCCTGCCTCTCAGTCCCGGAGCCTCCCCCATGTAGCCCCAGGCCTGTCACTGTGAAGGGGGGACGTGTTCACCTTTTCCATTAACCGTGAGCCTTAATGTGAGACATAATGTGTCTGGTACTCTTAGCACAGTGCCTCTGCTTGTAACTGGTACATGATAAATATTAGTTCCCTTCCCCCTAGACATGGATCTAGCTGTCGCTGGATCACGAAGAATACAGAAATCCAATTGAAGTCTCTCTCCTTAAAACTAAGTAATTTAGCTGAATAGTTTTGCTTCTCATGAGACAGTGTCCACTTTGTGTTGAGTTCCTCTTCTGTAGAGTCGTTTGATTTGATCCTAGTGATCAGTTATGTATAAATAGTAGGGAAACAACCCAGCTGGTAGAAGTTTCCTAAGAATATCCATTTTCTCCTGGGGCAGTATGATGTCCTCCAAAAAACCAAACAGGCTAGGGCCAGAGAACCTACATGGAACAGTGTTCAGGAAAGCTCTGCCCTGGTAAGCTGATTCATAGCTCACGGAGGTTGCTCTCAGATACCCATTGTTCCTACTTGCTAGTCCTGTTCTCAGAGTAATCACCCACATCACATGTCACTACCAATTATACCCCCGCTTTCACCACAAGAGTATGGAGCCGGGCTTCATGTTTATTAAGGGAGCTAGAAGATTCTAACCAGAAATCATAAAATGAGGGTGTTATACATTCCATGTTCATTCTTCCTTCAATAGGGATTGGTACTGGGGTCTCAGGGACCAGCTACACACATGCACACACACAAGTGACCAGGTCATTGCAGCCCGCATAGTCTCCAGAAGCAGCCACTTGCCAATGTCAGTGCTCAGTCCAAGAGGAATACGAATCACCTCATGAATGGTACCAGCCCATGTGTAAGTGGCGTGAAGGCCTCCTTTGTACCAGTCTCCATTCCTCAACTCGTCTGTGTAGTCCAGTTCCACAGAGCAAAGCTCCGTTTGGCCCTCTGAGATTGTTTTGTTTGTTGGCTGGTTGGTTGGTTGGTTGGTTTTGTTTCTTGTTACTCCTAAACTTTGCTTCAGGAGTCAAGGAAAAGGAAAAATGCTAATTAGTGGGTGTTGGTTTTTCTTCCCGGAGCTTCTGAATCTGAAATTATTAAAATAAAACCCAGGGTTGGCCAAGAGTGAGGTCTGAGGAGGTTCTCACATTTCACCATGTTCACTGTACTCACATCTACTGTTCAGAAATGGCATATAACATGCAGACTTAAGTTCTGTAAATAGCATAGGTGAGCATGGAAGGTACCGACCATATTTCCATTTAAGATCAAATAACCTACAGTCTAAAAGTGTCTAGTCTGTTTTAGTTTGCATCACTAATTTTAATTCATGCATAGTCAAGTGGCCAAAATCCATCTATAATGCCTATTCCAAGAAATGAGTCCATCAAAAATTCCTAATGCATCTCTTAGGCCATCTGTCTAGAATGCTTTGTTTGTTTGTGTCTTTAAACAAAACATTGAAATAAAGTGGCCTTTATTCCTCCAGAACTGGAGAGGTGTCTAAATCAGAGTTGTGCAAAATGATAGGCTATTGCTGCCCGCAAATGTGTAACTGTGGCATTTCCCTCGGACTTTAGGGAAAAGAGTGCAGATTCGGAAAGCACCTCAAGCCGTCTCCGATGCGGTGCCTGAGAGGAAAAGGTCCACCCCCATGAACCCTGCAAACACAATTCGAAAGACACACGGTGGCGGCAGCGTTTCTCAGCGGCCTTACAAGGATAGGGTGATTCACTTACTGGCACTCAAGGCCTATAAGAAACCTGAGCTGCTGGCCCGACTGCAGAAAGACGGCGTCAGTCAGAAAGACAAGAACTCCCTGGGAGCAATTCTGCAACAGGTGAGGGCTGCTTCTGTTGGGGAGTTCACTGAGCAAAGGTTCTTGTCCTGTTGTTAGGAGACAGAGATATTGCAGCATCATTTTGATTGGTAGCATATAAAAATAACTCATGAATAAATAAAATCACCTTTTTGGGCTGGGGAGATAGCTTGGTGGTCTAAGCACCTACCTGGCAAGGGCAAGGACCTGGGTTTGATCCCCAATATCATATGACGTGCTGGCTCCGGAGCCTGGACACATGGTGCCAGCAGCTGAAACCAGGCATGGTGATGCACGCCTGTAATCCCAACACGAGGGAGGCTGAGACAGAAGAATTACTATAAGTCTGAGCTGCATAGCAAGACCCTGTACCAAATAAATAAATAAAAGATTTTTTTAATTTAAATCTTTTTATGCATTTAATTAAAAACTAGCTTAAATGTAGATGTTGTCTTTATTTAGGTCAAATTTTGCTCTAAAATCCCACTGAAAAGTTAGAAACTTTTGTCCACTTTTAGCCTTGAATTACTTAAACTTGCTTTGCTTTTCTTGAATTTCTGTGAAGTTGTATGATGCGTTTGTTTTACTGGTCTGGTCGGCATGAGCCAGGACATTTTGCCCACTGAATAGCATGGACTGTCTCTTGCATTTGTACTCCTCCCTGCCCTCACTGCAGTGCCTTTCTCCTGCCTGTTGGGGTACCAGTCATTTGCTGGCTGCCTTGTAGCGTATGAATGTGCAAAGGGTTAGCTGTACGTACTCATAAGCTCACACATCGAAGCAGGCCATTACTCTCATTAAAGTCAGAGCATAACACGGTGCATTTTTCCATAGTTGCTGAGGTCCGAGACATCAGTCAGCATTCAGATTCACTGCAGTGCCCATCTGTTCGGTTTTTGGGTTTTTTTGGGTTTTTTTTTTTTTTCCCTAGAGCAATAACATTCCTAAAGTTATTCTTAAATATCTTTTTTTTTTTTTTTTTGGTGGTACCAGGGGTCAAACTCAAGACCTTGTGCTTGCCAGGCAAGCACTTACTCCACTGAGCTATTTCTCCAGGCACCCATCATTATTTTAAAAACACAAATTTTCATCTATTTATTAAAGAATAGTATTTTAACAGTCTAATTTTCATTATTTCTTATATTAAAACATAATATAAAATCTAGTTCAGGATTAGCAAATCTCTTAGACACTTTGGTCAATAGCAGTCTAAGTCAATATGTCATGTAGCAGTTTTAAGAGACCAAAAGAAAAAATGACAAAAAACATGGAGATGAGAGGATATGTGTGTTCATTCTTTGCCACAGAATATTTGGTAGTTGCATCTCTAGAAATGTTGTGAAATTACCTTCTGGTTTGAAGAAGGAGAAGGCAAGAGAGGGCAAGAGTTGGTTCTCAGAGTGGCCACTTGCAGCTTGGTGGCAGTGGCTTGTGATTATGTGTCCATGTGTAAAAATACACATAGCTAAAAATGTAGAGATTCTTGACCCTGAGCAAAGGAGACTTAAAAGTTGTTAAAGTGTTGGTCACTTGGTAGAATCTAAGTGTAGTCTCACCCTGGCTATACATTACTATACCCTAAAGAGGTTTGGGTTTTTTTTCTTTGCACAGCTCAGACTCATAGCGATCCTCGTTTTCAGCCTCTACAATGCTGGAATTACAGGTGTGCACCACCACACCCAGACTCAGTGGCTGGCTCAGTGGGGCACAGGGGTGGGGCCGGCATGGCTTGTGGTGCCAGGGATCAAGCCCGGCCCCTGTGCTTGCCTAAGCAGGTACTTAGTCCACTAAGCTATCTTGCTGGCCCTACTAGAGAGCTTTTGGAAAAATGCCAGTGCTCAGGGAGGGAGATACAGCTCCGCAGCACAGACCCTGCCTGGCAAGTGTGAGGTCGTGAGTTCTAGTCTCGGCACCAAAAGCAAGAAAGGCCAGTGCTGGAACTCCAACCCAAACCAATTAAATCCAACTATTTGAAAATAGAGCCAGGACCAATACTGTGTAAAGCCCTGGAGTAACTCTGATGTGTAATAATAGGCTGAAAATCACCACCTCGTGAAAATATACATGCACTAATAACACCTACTAGATGTGGGGCATGTACTACGAGCCAGGCCCTGTTCTTGGCCATTTCATGTTCACAATCTCATTTAATCCTCTCGAGGAAGATAATAAAGGCATGTTCAGAATTTTGACCTAAATCAAAATGTTCCCTTAGCACACATCTAACAGCTAATATGCAATGACTGGTGCTCCAGTGAAACTGACACATCAGGCATGAAAGGGAGAAAGCCAAGAACAGCAAAATACACAGATCGCTCATACACTGGAAATTCTATCCACACTTGATCTTAGCCAAATTGCCAAGGAGTGACGGTAATTCTATCTAATACAAACTAATCGGCACACGAGGTACCTAAAATGATAAGTCCTGCCTTTATGTGCCAACAGAGATATTTGCTGATTTGTTATTTATAAAGTATTTTTCAACTTTCTGTGTTTGGTAATTTATCAAAGTAATAGATTTTTAAAGTAACTTAAGAGGTTAGCTTTCAATAAAAGTTGACAGATTCTGCTACCCAAATGTACAAATGTGCTGATCAGGAAAGTTGGATTAATACTGTTCGTCACTAAACCGTTACATATGTATAAAGCTTCCTTTTTCTTAGAATGAGTGCTTCTCTGGAAAAATTAATCAGAAAAGGAGCAGTATAAAGCTAAATAATGTTCTTGAGCTTAACAGTTGGACATGTGGCTGGAGCTCATTCGTTTACTTCAATTTGTTAAGTACAGTTGGCCTCCCACATGGTGGATTCAGCCAACCGCAAATCAAAAATATTTGGAAAACATTTGTATCTGTACTGAACATGGACATATTATTGTCTTTCATTCATTAGGTCCTAAAATATTTGGAAAAAGAAAAAGAATTGTACCCTAATGGAACATGTACATGTTAGTTTTTCACCATGATTCCCAAAACAAAATAGTGTAACCACTATTTATATAATATTGTATTTGCATTGTATTAGATATGTTAAGTAACCTGTGATTAGTTATATGGGATGATACTTTCAGTCTGTACCTTTTATATAAGAAACTTAAGACTCGAGTATTTCGATATCCTTGGGCGTTCTAGAACCCATCTGCTGTGGCTTTAGCAGGTGCCTGCCCACTGCGGTATTTCAGACATTGTTCTGAGTGATGTAGTCTCCATGCGATGCTCATGGACAGCCCTTTCCTCCCTGGAGTATGTTCTTGGGATGGCTTCTGGTAGAATAGGGACTTGAGAGGAGCTGGATGAGGGACCCACTGCTTCCAGAACAGGATTCAAGGAGTCCCTTTTTTGGAGGGTCACAGTTTAAGGATGAGCAAGGGCCAGGAAGATGAGTCAGCCTTTCTGGGGGCCTGGGAGATGAGAAGGTTCAGTATCTTCAAGGGAGAGGAGAGATGGAGGCCAGATTGCAAAGGACCTTTTCAGGCTCTCGGCAAGGAGTTTGGATTTTAAGTAAAATAGCTAATCCCTTTAGAAGTTTAAGAAAGAATATGCTGTGATTTGATTTATACTTTTAATAAGCCCATTTATGGACTCCTGTGGCATGATTATTAGGAGGCATAAAGACAGAAGAACCATTTAAAGGAGCCTGTTACAGAAACCCAGGTTTAATGTGCTGGTGACCTGACTGGGGGGCACTTGAAGGTGGGTTATCAGATTAGGGATAGATGTTGCAGGAAGAGGTGTTTATGGATCTCACATAGGAAGAGGGAAAGGGAAGGTGTGGAGTCCACGATCATGACTCAGTCTTCCACCTAAGCATCTAATGGGCATTGAGGCCCGCACGGAGCAGGAATGAAAAGGACCGTGTGTAGAGCAGCAGGGAGTGGTGTGCAGGGGTTCTGTCTCAGGGAACACCCTGGTTGGAAGATGCCCAGTAGACCTGCGGTGGAGGGAGGGCTTTAGGTAAGTGCAGCTGAGGGTCTGGTCCGGTGTTCAGGAGACAGAGCTGCAGCAATAAATCAAGGAATAAAATCATCTTAGAAAGACATGGGAGAGTGACAACATCAGCAGAGGGAAAGCACCGAGCAGTCCACCACGAAGAGCCACGGGGCTGGGGCGTCCTACGGGACTGGGAAACTGGGCTGTTCTGTTTATCCCACTTCAGAGTTTCTGTGGGTAGCCTATATTTTATTGGAAAATTTGAATTTTAAAGTCAGCCTATTTTCTTTATAACAACTTTAATTTTAGAATAGCATCTCATTGGGCTGTGAGAGAAATGTCAATCATTGTGTATTTTATAGTATTGTTTAAAGACAGAAGTCAAGTTATTAAAAGGTTATTCCTCATCTGAATGTCAGGCAGAAATATCTTTTTCCTAGACTTAAAAATTATTTTTGGCTTAGCACCTGAAGCCATACGTTTGTGTCGTTAATGGATTATAGGCATCAGCATCCTATGATTTATATTTAAGGGATAGGAAGAGATTACAGTTGTAAATAAACCATCTGGCTAATAACAGTCATGTGGGGTTTTGGTTTTTGTTTTTTAGTTTATGTTTCCGTTTGTTGGTTTGGGGGAATTTCAAGGGCTTCTAATAAGTGGTTCTTTGGGAAAACTATCAGATACAAGCAGCAAGCCTGAACTTGGTTATCCAAAAGAAAATGACAGAAGAGGTTTTCAGAATTGATGCTATTTATAAAGTTTCTTTTGGTGCTAAAAGAAAAGCTTATAGTCCAACATTTGTTGTTTATTTTCTACTTAATGCACATGATCAGATTTTTACTGTGTCCCACAAGTAAAAGAGATTATAACAAGTAAATAATCTTGCTAATATAACTGTTTTGGGTCCCTTTGTTTAGAAACATTGACTTTAAAAAAAAATCCATTTTTTTCCCTAATGTCAATTTATTATTTGATTGGAAATTTTGCAAATGAAATGGATCTTCCAGGGAAAGATACTTTCTATATTTCTTCCCAAAATGAAATTGAATTCATTAAGATCTCGTATATATAGCCAGGCATGGCATAATCCCAGTACTGGGAGGTTGAGGTAGGAGGATCATTGCGAATTCAAGACCAGCTTGGGCTACAAAGTGAGCAAAGGCCAGCCTGAGCTACATCGTGAGACCCTGCCTCAAAAAGACAAAAAAAAAAAAAAAAGGATCTGGCGTGTGTAAAACTAGCAGTCTCTTTAAGGCCAATTTTCATAATTATTTTCAGTATAAATCCTAAAGACCACCTGTTTTAAATAATTAGCAAAAGTATCTAACGTTCTGCATTACACCGTGTACCAGGTAGCCAATCTGAACCCTAAGGACCTGTCCTACACGCTGAAGGATTACGTGTTCAAGGATCTGCAGCGAGACTGGCCAGGATACAGCGAGACAGACAGACGGTCTCTTGAGTCCGTGCTTGCCAGGTATGTCCTTTTCTTTCATTTTTTTCTTTAAAGATGATGCAAATAAGTAACTGTTCAGTAACTGTAGTTTAGTGTCGATGTGGGAAAGAATGAAGTAAGGGTGAGCTTTCTATTGTGAACATTCTCAAGTTCTCTTTAATTATCTGGAACATGTGTGTCCTTTTCAGAAAACTAAATCAATCTCAGAATTCTACTGGCGCCAGCCGTTCAGAATCTCCCGTATGTTCTAGTAGAGATGCTGCCTCCTCTCCTCAGGTATGTATAATAAAGTTATAAATCCATACTGCTTGTCACAGTACTCATGCATACCTTGCTGTCCCCCGCCTTCCCCCCTTGAGACAAGGTCTCACTGTGTGGTCCAAGCTAGTCTAAAATTCAAGATAGCTGAGGCAAACTTCAAACTTGCAATCCTCTTGACTCAGCCTCCAGAATGCTGGGACTACAGCTATGTGGTACTGTGCCCATCTTGTAGTTTTTGTTAATGCAGTTACTTCTTAAATTGGTCATTAGCCATATGATTTGTCTAATTTCATCCAGTTCTCACAATTCTCAGGTCATATCTGAGAATTTTCTCCAAAGCATGTTCTAGTAAAATATTGTTAGGAAAAATGTATTTGCAGTAAGCCAGTAAACAGCCAGAGCTCTTTCCAGAAGGACCTGAAGCAGGGTACTCAGGCTGCTCCACCTCCCTTTCCCCTGCGAGAGCAGCCCAATCTAGCAAGTTCAGCACACTGGAGTCCTGCACACTGCTTCTTAGCTCAGTGGCCAGCGCCACAGCCCTGCCCGTGTGATGCTTTCAGTGTCCTGAGTGCTTTGGGCAGACAGTGGGGACACCTTGTCCCCTGCTATGCTGTCTGTCCCTGGATCCTTTCCCTACAAAATAGGGAGAAGCAGACAGATGCGTGGGGAGCAGAAGGCATGTGCAGGGCAGAGGGCTATCCACACAGCAGAAAAAGAAACCTCCCTGGAAGGGGCAGCATGCTGTCCTTGCTCGTAAGCTGTCTGTGGAAGCCTTATCTGTAAGCTTACCAAGCTATTTCTCCTGTCAGAGTACATAGCAAGTACCAAATAAATGGGGCTAAATTAAAAACAAAGAACTAATGAGCTGATTACCTATATTTTCTTTCAAGCGCAATATAAGCCATAATAGTACATTTATACATAAATATGGACTTGTGTTTTGTACTTTGGGCTATTGAATCCCTTTTATGGTTATTATTGAACTGAGCTGCTATGATTCTCTTTTAAAAAGTGTTTCCACATTAAAGTGGGCTAGATGTGAATACCTTATAGTATAGTGAAGAGATATCTAAGAATTACCAAAAAAAAAAAATTGCAATCACATTTCAGCAATGATAGGGATACTTAGGGAAATTGCTCTGAAAATGTTGACTCTAGTCACAGCAGGTAAAATGAAAAATGACAGCTGACGTACTCAAGACTGGAGCATTTCAGCACATTTGACATCACATGCAGGCAGGCGTGTTCCTTTTTTTTTTAAATTTGTGTATTTGATACAGGGTCTCCCTGTGCACCTGGGACTCATAGTAATCCTGTTTTCAGTCTCCCCGGTGCTAGAGTTACAGGCATGCGCCACCACAGTAGGTCTCAGTGTCTGGCTCAGCGCGCACAAGGGTGGGGCTCAAACCCTGGTCCCTGGGTTTATCTAAGCAGGTGCCTAGTCCACTGAGCTCTCTCCCTGGCCCTAAGCATGCTGCCTTCTGTCAGCCTTGTTAGTTCTCCCAGAGTCCAATGGGCCCAGCTGCTATCTCATCCTTTAATAGGATCAGGCCAGCGCAGGCCAGCAACAGAGATGGCTGCTGTGCTTAGCACTCTCCTGAGTGTCTAATCCACATAAACTGCATAAGTGCTTATGAACTTGGGGTGAGACTGAATGCCTAGGAGATAATGACTCAGCCCCCCAAGAGATGTTCTTGCCAGATTTTGCTTTTGACATTAGACATGAAAATGTATTCTTGTGATTTTTCTGTGATGCCTTGGTTTGGGGTTATTTAGGGTTTTGTTTTGTATTTTGCTTAAGCTTAGAGGAAGGTTAGTACGAGGAAGGTCACTCAGTTGATTAAGCCATCGCACATTTATTGAATTTGCTAAACTTCGGTATGAACTGGCTTTTGTTTTCCTTCCCCCCTCCCTTCAGAAACGGCCTTTGGATTCAGAATTTATTGATCCTTTAATGAATAAAAAAGCTCGAATATCTCACCTGACAAGTAGAGTACCACCCACATTAAATGGCCATGTGAATCCCACAGGGGAGAAGTCCCCCGCCAGCCTCCCCCCGCTGCCCGCAGCCGCTGCCATCCCGAGCCCTCCGCCACTGCCTCCCACCCACTTGCCTGTCTCGAACCCACCGCAGACTGTGCACTCTAACTCCAACTCCCCGAGCACTCCAGAAGGCCGGGGGACTCAAGACCTACCTGTGGACAGTTTCAGTCAGAATGGTAGCATCTATGAGGACCAGCAAGACAAATATACCTCTAGGACTTCTCTGGAAACCTTATCCCCTGGTTCAGTTCTACTCAAGTGTCCAAAGCCTATGGAAGAAAACCATTCAGTGTCTCACAAAAAGTCCAAAAAGAAGTCTAAAAAACACAAGGAAAAGGACCAAATAAAAAAGCATGACATTGAGACTGTTGAGGAAAAGGAAGAAGATGCTCGAGGAGAAGAGGAAATTGCCAAGCTGAATAACCCCAGTCCAGATTCCAATGAAGGTACTGTAAAAGCTGACCTTCCGTGGTGAGGGAACTGGAGGTGCATACTGCTGTGAGTTTGAGATGGTGCTGCCTAGAATTAATAATGTTTTTTAAGTAAATGACTTTCTTTTTAACTATAAATATTGTGCTTTTGAGCAGATCTTTTTCTTTTCTTTTTTTACTGCTGTGTTGTTTCTTTTTAGCCAACTATGAAAGATTTCTGTTTTTGTTAATAAGATAATGGCATTTGAAAATGACCCTGTCGTCCTCCTGAGACTCCCTCTTGCAAGTGGACGCTGATGCTCTTGTCCTTATTTGTTAAAATATTGTGAAACCTCAGGATGAATGTTATGCGCTCATTCTTGAACTGATTCACCAGACCCAATTGACAGTAGAAATGTTTCTTTCTTTCTCAAAGAAACAGTGTCACCCCTGCTTTAATTAATATTAGCATGGGGAAATGTCAAATTCTTTATAAAATAGGCAAGGCAGACATAACATCATCTTCATTTACAGTGAATACAATTTCGCTTTTGCAAAGCTGTGGGCGACTATTAGCTTGATAGTTTATAGGGCTTTTTGTTTTGATTTCTCAATTTTTAGTAAACTAACATCAATTGTAATGAAAATGTGTACTTCAGGCTCTAGGAAGAAATGTAAAAGCCTAATATCTAGAGACTCAAGCTTGAAAAATAACACGTTATCCCTAAACAAAAGCTAATCAACAGAAAGACTGCTTATCTGAGGTATACTAATCTTTAAATCTGATGGCAAAGTAGCTTTGCCTTGCTTACCAGCAGCAAACCCCTCTACACCACGTCTGATGTCCCAGGACACAGTGCGAAGTCTGTCGTGTAGCACTGCAGCCACTTTTGAACTCAGCACAACTAAGGCAAAATCCCTCAGGAAACATTAAGAAGGTTACTTTAATGAGCAAAGTTTTACGGGGCTTAATCACAGTTTTAAGCAGTGCTGAGTCTCTCTATTTTGCCTATAACACTGAAAGCCATACCCATACATTTAGTGACCATTTTTGCTGTATGAGAGAAGCTCTGATTATGTTCAGTGGTGCTTGCAGGAGAGTTGTAGAATAAATACTGTATATAATGCAGTACCATTGTCGCCCTGCATTGGGTACCTTGCATGTCAAAGTGTATCTGTTGAAATATTTAGGCCAGTGTAATGCTACATAATGGCCTGAGAGGTAGGTGTAAGCTTTTCCCCCCCTCTGACACTCTGGTACTTGAACTTGGCAAGTCAGGAAAAGCCACCAAGTAAAACTGTTCTCAGCATTAATCAGCAAGGCTCCTGGGCACAGTCCCCGCTCCACGACCTGCCCCAGGCCATGATCCTGAGTCTCCGCCTCCTCCCAGAGGACGACACCAGGATGCCAAGGCCTCTGCAGGACTTTGTTCTTGGAGTTGGAGACCGGGAGAGGCAGCCCTGGTCTCTTTCATCCTTCCCTGAGGATATGCAGAATCTCTCTCAGAACCCAGAGCCTCTGTCTATTCCCTGGCATCCGTGGCAGAGGGGATTGCCCTTTCCTTGTCCCCAAGCCTGAATCTCATGCATACAGGTGAACAGTAAGCCCACCAGGTCTATGTAACTTATCTAGCACCCTTTACCATTTAAAGTACTAGACTAAGGAATAGACAGATATTCACATTTATTTTATAGCAGACAAGTTAGGGCTGGAGTTAACTAGCTTCGCTTTACTTTAAATGACAAAATATATTACCCCAATACAAGATCTAGACATAGCCCTTGGAAATGGTGAATTGGAAATGCAGTGTTGATCATGTGTCTGGCTTAACTTCATAGTCATGACTGGCAGGAATTTTGGAGCCTTTTTGTTTTTCTGCAGGTTTTTCTTTGAGGGGGACAGGGTCCATAAAAGAAGTCTGTGTAGTACTATGAGGACCAGAAGTTAGAGGAGAATAAATCAATGTTCAGTAACACCTTATTTTAAACTGATGGGAAAGCTTCCTCCCCATTTCCACTGTCTGCATACAAAAAAGGACAGCAATAAAAATAGAGTGAGCAAAACAGCCTGCTACCTGACGCTACTGTCTCATCTGCCCTGCGTGAGTCCCATGAAAGTGGATGTTGATATAAAATTTGTATCTCCCATTGTGCGGCTGCATCTGCCGCCACAGCCTGTGAATTGCTGGGCAGATGCCACAGCTGTTGCTGAAAGAATAGAAGACTGACCCTGGGTTACGATGGAATTCCTTTATTGTGCAGACACTGCAGTAGCCAGGGCGCTTTAAATGCCTGCGTCGGTTCTGCTGGCGCTGGTCATAGGGCCTCTATTGTCTGTGTTCAATTGTATTCCTTGCTCACTGTTGCTTATTGAGATGGAAGAATAGAATTGGAGGAAAAGTGTTCCAGATGTTTCTAATCTATTTTAGAATTACAGGCATTTGATAACCATACTGGTTGGTGAACACTCTGAATTTTTTTCCTTTCATAGGAGTTAAAGAGGGTTACACTGCCTCCATGGAGCCTTCTTCAACAATTGAACTCCCAGACTATTTGATGTAAGTGTACCCGTCTGCCAGTGGAGAGAACAATTTAATTTTAGAAAGTTTTGCAAATTCTTTTCCCATAATCTGCAAATCAAAAAAGCCAGAAATTCCAGAAATAGAGTCCTGAAGCCACCCCTGCAATTGAAAGGCTGCCATGAAACCTGCATGTCCCCAGTCCACCCTGGACTGCGTGAGCAGGTCGTCTCCCCCGCTCTGAGCTGTCTTCGTTGGCCTTTAAGTATAGAGAAGCCTGTCCTTTGTTCCAGGGCCAGGCCAAGCTTTTGATTATGGGAGATTTCAGGGGTCCGACTCTTCAAAGCTGACAAATCTATCAATGCGTAGCCATTCACTTGCGCCCCCAGAGGGACGGGTTATTACTGACAGAGTGCTTGAACTTCTGCACTTAGTAATGCAAAGTGGAGTTAGGTTGATTTTCACTTAAATATATTCTGCCCTCCGATTGATTTTAAGAGGAGACAATAGCAGAATGCAGTCATTCCTTTCTAGTGCCAGCTGTGTTTCTCTTCTTATGGCAGTAAGTTGATAAAACTGAGCTAGGGACAGTTTTGTAACTGGTTACCACAGAAGTTATAAGTGGGACACACAATTCTAGCTGGAAGAACAAAATAATTAAGTTGCAAGAGCTGTGAAAATAGAGTGAGAGAACAAACAGATCTGACAAGAGATACCTTGAAAACAAACAAATGTGCAAAGTAGTTTGATCACACCTGGAAGCCAGCATCCGGGCTGTGGGGACTCCTTTCCTATTAATGGCATCGCCATCGCTCTTAACTAGTAATGAAGTTAAGCTAAGCTGCTTTCCCTGCTTGTTTCCAGAGGAGAGAACATTTTATATTTAAAATGTATGGCTTCAGCTCTCCAGTAGTGTGAAAACTGTACTGATTAGGAACGAGGTAGCATGAGTCCATCATGCTGGCTGATGTCTCTGAGTTCACAGAACCACTCTGGTGGCTCTGTCATCCGAGACAGTGGATAGTTTCAGCAAACCTGGATGAGAAGTAGCAACCTCCGAGGGGCCCACAGGAGCTCTGCTCCGCAGCCGGGCTTCCAGGGGAGCCCTGGCCCTGCTGCTGAGAGGAGTCACCTCTCTAGGCACAAGCCACTCCCTTCAGGATGGCTGTGCGCACGCCGCTCTCCTGCAGCCACCAGGACCACACTCGCACTCTCCCGTGATAGATTTTTGAGCACCTCCTTTATTAATAGCAATATATCTTTGTAATATGTGACAAAATCATGTGGGGAGACTGAAAAATAATCTGAGTTTCTCCCAGTGGAGTTGAGGCTGTTGCTATGTTTTGCTAACCTAATTAGTTAATTCTATATTGGAAGAGTTTTTTCAGGTTACTGGTCTAAGGGTGGCTGCTGTGTCTGCCTGAGTGTATTTCTGTGTTTGTCATGTTGCTAGTGCTGGGACTGTGTGCTTAGATGAAAGCAATGTATTTTAATTGAAAACTGAGGCTTATATAAGTTAAAATGATGAAAAAATTCCAAAAATACAGAATTTAAGTTGCCTCACAAGAAATTCAAAAGGACAGATGAGAAAGCCTAAAAGATTAGCCTTTAATAATATTAATGATTATATAAGAATACTGTTTTTACCTGTGGTTGTGGGTTATCCAGACTGTTTAAGTTTGTATGATATCACTGCATTAAGAACCAGCTGTAGAAAGCTATTCTAGTTTTCATTAAAATAATGTAATGCTTTTTGTTCAAATGTCAGTAGAAGCAAACAGCATCACAATTGTTCACCAGTTTGGGGTTTTTCTCCCCCAGGAAAATTATTAAATAAAATACTTAGGGGTATGGTTTTGGAAAAAGTAGGATAAATGTGTTAATACAACAAATAAACTCTTTAGTTTCGAGATTGGCTTAAACACACACACACACACACACACACACACACACACACACACACCACACCCCAGAACCTCTTTCTCTCCTGGGGCTCCCTCTGGTGTCTGGGAAGGACAGCATCCCTGCTGGCTGGCAGTGTCCCCACACAGCTGAGCCACCAGCAGGGCAGCTCTAAATCAGCACACCGCTGCTGTCTCAAGTACACTTGGAAAATTAAACTTCCACACTGTCTGTCTCAGCATGAATAAAAATATTAATGAGGACACTAAGCTCACCCGCTGCACTGCTTTCCTCACATATCCAGCTAGGTGTCTGTGGTACAGCAACTTAAATAAAACAGGTAAGGTTCCATAAAGCCAACTGGGAAAGACTGAACTCCAAGAGGTTGCCATGGGGAAGAGTGAGTGTGTCCCCAGGGTGCAGCCTGCCATTCCCTCCACCTGCTGGACATCTTCGGTAGTCAAGGGACTTTTGCATCCAATGATGGGAGCATAGAGCGCAGAGATTCAGGCTTGACAGTCCAGTTCCCTTATCCACACATAAATAGTACAGTGTAGTACTGCTTGGCCTACCACTAAGTTCGCTGGCATGCTGAGAAATGGTCCTTCACTTACCTAGGAGCAGTCACACCCAGAAGAGAAAAGAGATTCGCATACTTCATTAAGTATATTAGAGGACAATAGACCCCTGGCTTTCTGCTGTGTGGAATATGACATATAAGTGGTAGAAAAAAACTAAAGAAGTATGATACTTTTTGTTTCTCACTTTAAAAAATTACACACCATTCCTCTTGTATTTTCTGTGTATATCTCATCAGAAGAATAAGGAAAGGGATAGGGTGCGTGAGCTGAAAGAGAGACTCCCTGTTGTAAAGGTTTGGGCCTGGGGACAGCTCTGACTTCAGCACTAAGTGTGTGACATTCTCATGGTGTCCCATTGCCTTCTGTCTCAATGCGACTGGTAACAGATAGATTGGCCTTTCCCAATGGTGTGGCAGTGAACTGTTTTGTTGAAAGGTTCAAGAAGCCAAATGTATGTGAATACAGTTTTCATTGTGTAGTTGCACTTCATTCCTAGCGTGTCTTCTTCACATTCACCCTTCTTCCTTGAATCTCCTAAACCCTCAGTGTGACCCTTTTCCTAGAAGGCCCTTTGAGGAGGAACCAGGCAGCAGACCAGCGAGCGGCACAGTAGCATTAACTACTAGGGATAGGCGCAGGGTACAGTTTCTGGGGAGTTGGCTTAAACCTCACACTCAGGTGATCGTTTGTTCTGTAGCTAATCTGTGTTCACCTTCTTCTCCATGTTCACCTTTCTTCACAGAAAATATATCGCCATTGTCTCCTACGAGCAACGCCAGAATTACAAGGATGACTTCAATGCTGAGTATGATGAGTACAGGGCTCTGCATGCCAGAATGGAGACGGTAGCCCGAAGATTCATCAAGCTGGATGCACAGCGCAAGCGCCTTTCTCCGGGCTCGCGAGAGTACCAGGTGGGCGCATGCGCACACGCACACAGATGCCCTCCCTGTTACTTCATTCTTTCTCTCCCTGCCCACTCCGGCCCCAGCCAATCCAAAAGCCAGGCCTCTCACAGACTAGCCTCCTTGCTGTTTAGGAAACTAAACATTTGAGGTAGTTTTTTTGTTTTTTGTTTTTTTAACGGAACCGGGATTGAACTCAGGCCCTTGTGCTTGCCAGCGAAGCACTTACTCCGCTGAGCCATCTCCCTGGCCCCTTGAAGTAGTTCATAAAAATAAACACACCAGAAAAAGCTTTGTGTGACATTAATATAATATAGAGTGTGTTGAGAAGCATGCCACATACACAAGTAACTGGGAAAAAAGGTGGGTCCTGGGATTCCTTCAAGAATCTGGTTATAGCACCAACTCAACTCAGATTAAAGAGCCTAGGTCTGACACTTTCCTCCAAACTGTACTGTCTCAAGTAAACATTTTAAATTATTATTTTTGAAAAATACAGCCTGACACAGGATAGGGACAATGCACATGTAGGCTGCAATGGGAGCACAAGACTACCCAGTTTTGGATTGAGATGAAGAGATGTTAGTGCTTCTAGCCCTTCCGGGGACTAATGCTTGGTGGCCAGTGTTACTCCATCTTCAGTTCTCTGCCTTACATGGCAGTGCCACCCCTGTCCAGGAATAGCAGGTGTCTGACTTGTCTTTGATTTCTTTTCATAGTTTTCAGCAAAAAGATTAACAAATGAATATTTCCCTCTTTGGATCAGCCAGATAACTGTCATGTTCACACCATCAGTCGTGCGCGCCTCTGTCCCAGCCCACTACCATTGGTTTTTCCCAAGGAGAAGTGGGGGGGGGGGGCAGATGCAGACAGATGGATTTTCCCACCATGGGGAAAAAAAAAAACAGTCCAAGACTGTGTATCTTAGAGATTCCTCAGGTCGTCTTGTACTTATGGTTCTTGATCAAAAGCTGCTAAGACTTACAGCCTTTTCCACCGGAAAATGTATCTGCAGGTATAAGAGTTTGGTGAAAAGGTGGTTTTAGGCTTTATTTTTCCTACACAGTTAACAGTGTGTATGGTCATATTTAAACTAAAATGGGGCCAGGGAGATCACTCAGTAAAATAAGTGCTTGTCTGCCAAACGCAGGGTCTTGAGTTCAATCCTAGGTGCCACAAAAATAGATAAATAAACAAATAAACTAAAATGTAATTCCCAGAATTGCATAGTGGTTGGGAGCAAGCTCCGGAGACATGTTTTGTGGGTTGAGTTCCAAGCTATTATTTAATACTTACGTGACCTTGGGCAAGTTATTTAATGCCTCTTTGCCTCAAAGAGACATCATAGATAATCATAGAGTTGTTATGAGTGTTACATGTAAGCCAGCATTTATAAACTACTTAGATCTGTGCTGGATACGCGGCACATAAAGACTAGCTGGCCCTTTTGCTTGAGCTACCAACCCCACCACCAAAGTCACTCATACTGTTGATTTCCAGTATAGCCTTTCAAAAGTTTATTGAAGTGTATGTATAAAATAAATGTGTACATATACCTGAAAGTAAATGTATTTGTGCTATATTTAACTAAATCTGTTTTTCTCTATTGTAAGATCCATCATTATGCTATGTCCCAGCAACACAAACCACAATACATGATTTTTGTCATACTTTCAATAAAATGAGGAAAGATAGATACATCTTTAAAAGTAAGGAAATGTTTACATTATAATAGTATCCTAGGGCCAGCCCGATAGCTCAGCGGATTAAAGTGCCTGCTTAGGCAGATGCAGGGGCCAGGGTTCAATCCCGGCCTGCCATGCTGGCCACACCCTCGGAGCGTGCTGAGATGTGGACTGAGACTGGGCGTGGTGGCATGGGCCTGTAATCCCAGCACTTGGGAGGCTGAAAACAGGAGGATCACTATGAGTCCTGTCTGTATAGTGAGACCCTGTAGACCTTGTACTAAATACATAAAATAGTATGATGTTATTTTGTATTTTACTCTTTTCACCAACAAATATAAATGCATCTTAGAGAAATGTTTAAATCAACACAAAAAACAGTTCCTCCCCCACCCATCTTTAATGGTCTCCTAGTATCTTCTGTATAGATTTAAGAACATCTTTGAAAAATTTTTTCATGTATTTAGTACAGGGTCTGCAGGGTCTCACTGCACAGATTAGACTCATAGTGATCCTCCTGTTTTTAGCCTCCCAAGAACTGGGATTACAGGCACGCACCACCACCCCCAGTCTCGAGAGCATCTTGACATTGTTTTCTGTCTTCTACTTTACAAGCTGTGCTGCAATGAATAACCTTGGATATGCATCCTGTCACTCAGGGGAAGCAAATCTGTGGTCTGAGCACAGTGCTGAATCAGTCCTGCCTTTGCTATGTTGGTAGCTGCTGCCCAGTTGCCTTCCATGAAGACCGTGCCAGGTCACGGTCTCGCTCACCATCAGCATTTGCTCTGGCTTCGCTGACCGCATGTCAGTTACTACATTGCCCCCCCCAAAAAAAAAGTGTTGTTTAATTCTGACCTTTAATTTTCAATTTTGTAGAATGTTCATGAAGAAGTCTTACAAGAATATCAGAAGATCAAGCAGGTAAGGATCATCTCTGTGGACTTTGGAACCTGCAGGTGAGAGTGGTCAGCTCTGCAAGCTGATTCCTCACTGGTTTTTGTTTTTTATCTGCAGTCGAGTCCCAATTACCATGAAGAAAAATACAGATGCGAGTATCTTCATAACAAGCTGGCTCACATCAAAAGACTGATCGGTGAATTTGACCAACAGCAGGCAGAGGCGTGGCACTAGGCTCTGCCTGGACCAGAAGATGTGAATAAACTTAAGCTTATTTATTTAAAATTCCAAATGAGTTGTTATAGATTCTAAAAAATTGAAACTTTGCCTGTTAAAAGTTTCAGTATTAGTAAACTTGAGTTACTTTTTTTTTTTTCATCTTACTTTGCTTCCCTGCATTTTGAAGCTGCTTTTGCTAGTCCTTCTTTTTTCCTCTCAAGACTTGTGTTTGTTAATAGAAATAATTTTTTAGATATTGGGGATCCAGTGTTTATATACTTCAAATCATTTTTTTCTTTAAAAACTTGTGTTTGTCATTAGAAATGATTTTTTAGATATTGGGGATCCAATGTCCACACTTACAAGTTGTGTGTGTTAAAAAAACAGTGATGTGTAAGGTGAAATGCTTTTGGATAAACATAAGCCTATTTTCTGACCTTTCTTAATGCAAACTCTTTGCCTTAAATGGTAGAATATTTAGAAATTTGCACAAAATACAAAAAAATTAAAACATTGTTTGGGAGGGTTAAAAATAGGAAGTCGGATAACTGTGGGTATGTGTGCAGGCTTTTCTGCACATACGGATATCCACACTGACTTGGTCTAGACCCTTAAATCCACCCTGCGAGTTAACCCCCCATTGCAGTGTTGCCTTAAGGTGTTTGCTAGTCGTGTACATCGTGCGGTTAACCATTAGCTACACTGCTTCTGGATGAGCGCAGCCTGTGGCCTCCCGGCGTCTGGAAGCGTGTACTCGGCCTGTGTGTGTGCAGAGGTGATGTGGGTGTGTGTGTGCCCAAAGGAAACAGCCACTCCTCGCAGGAGGCCAGACGCTCAGGTTAAACAACTGGTGAGTGTTCCTGGAGGGGTGTTGTTTCCTGTCGAATGGCTACTTCTACTACAGAAGACAAAAGCATTTCCATTTCAAAGTTTGTCAGCTTTATTAATGTTGGACAAAAATTGATATGTTATAAAAATGAAACAGATCTATAGTTTTGGGGCAAAATTATAAAATGAAATGTGTAGGTAACCTATTTATATACTGCTATAAAGTATTTTTTGAAGAGAGATATGCAAAGAAGCTATTACCTACATGAGATGTATATTTAAAGAGTTTTTTCATCCTGGATGCCAGGAATATAAAAGCGGATATATTTAACCATAACATACTGTGATTCATCAAATAGCACAAACTTTCATTTCATGGAGTTTATCTGTTGAGGCTGATTTCAACTCTCACTGGTTTTATCATGTGGGAACATAAGTTATGTGGTCAAAAATACAGGAGTTTGAACTAATGTTGATTCAAGTTGTGTCGTCTCATTGTATTGTCTTTTCAAAGTGCTGCCAGTTGAAAAGGGAAGCATTATGTTTACAAATCTGTTTTGAAATGTTTGCCAAAATTTTGGTAGTATCTTTAATAAAGATGTCTGTCTCCAGCATCCAAGAAAATAAGTAAACAACTTTGTCGTGTATCACTATAAACCAGAAAATGTTGGTATATAGGAAATGTTAGAGACCATATAGATCTTTTCTCTTTGGAGTTCTTGCTAAAACATTAACTACACAGATTAGACAATATATTAAAAGTAGCATACAAAAGGATACAGACTTTTCAAAGACCCTTTCCTCTACAATTCTAAAACCATCCTACAGAAATTTGATTTTTCTGTAACTTGGACCTCCTTGGGAATTTTGTTTCTTTTAGCATTGAGATCCCTGGTCTTCCTTTTACCTCCGAATTGGTACAATCATTACTAAATAGTAACTTATTTCAAACTTTTAGTTGCAAAAAGAGAGAAAAGGAAGCTTAGTGGGGGATAAGTTTGCTTCCTGTATTATGATGGCAGTCTCCTGAGGGCCTTTTCTACAGGTAGTAACTTCATTGTGTTACTTCTTGGACACATTGGCCTTTTAATTGGAGATGGTGGCCTTCTATGTGCTGTGATCATTGTTTTCCAAAAGCAAGCTCCTTGGACTACTTATATTACCCAAATTAGAACCTCTGGCTAGGGCCCAGGTACCTGCATTTTCACAAGTTTCCTGTCTGACTTTTGCAAGCTCAAGTATGAGAACCTTAGGCTTGGATGTGGCTCTGAACTTTTAAGTCTATGTATCTGGAAATTTTGAACTGAAGGTCAGCTGTTGGCTTTTATATTTTTCTAACTCATCTCTGCAGCAGGTGCAAATAAATCACTTTTCCCCTCTACATACTCAGAGGCACCCATTGGTTATTTCACTGCCAACTCTTATTTCAGAACCTGTTTACAAACAAGCCTTCCTGTTAATCATGAGACCGCGAGCTCCTACCACCTACATCAGCACATAGTCTGGTTTACAAGTTGGGTAACATGGAAGCTGGAGATGCTCTATGGAAATCCAGCCCTGCACACCCATAGACTTGACCACGTACCAGTAAAAGCCTTACTTTAGATGTTTGTTGTGTACATTGGACAGATCCTTGCAAAAGGTGTGACTACCAGTTGCAAATCTGAGAGCTGCAAATCTCAAAATATGCTGTCACCCGAGATTGCATTGCCTGGGTGTGAGCCAATTAAAATATTTCTAATCCTTTTTCATCCCATGCTATAAGATTTTTAGATTCCTGCAAATGTTTGCCATAGGAATGAGTTACCATTTAGTATCAGTTACTCTGATGGAAGAATATAAGTTTTTGGTTTTGTTTTGAGGAAGACTTAAATAGAACACAGCATTGTCGATATTTAAAAATGAGTTGTGTGTTTAATATTTCATTAAAAATAATTTGAAATCTTGAAGGTTTTTACCAACACCCACAAATCTCCATATTGCATGAACAGTTAATTTAAACCAAATTGAAGAAAGCATTATGTGGGGGGTTATGTAGGGATTTTACCTCTATCCTATTGATTATTTCCCTTAAAATGCTTCAGAAGTGCTTTCAAATCTTCACATAGTAAGAGATGTCCAGTAGTTTCTCTCCCAGAGGTTTTGGGCTCATCAGTTTTTATCACTGCTCATGCATTGATCATAAAAATTCAGTATTAATTTTTTTCCCTCTCTAGTTCATTGTACAACCTTTATAGGAACTTTCTTTTTCCGAGAAGTGTTTCACCCTATTATATAAAACACATGCAAGATGTTGGCATGAAGTTTAGACCCAGATGACAGGCCCATCCGTTCAGACGTCGTGAGGCGTCTTGCCCATCCAGAGTATCCTGTGCTCGCAGAGCTCGGCTGAATCTCTGGCTGGTTCTGGGCAGCGGGCATGTCATCTCTCGGCCTGATTTCTGCTTCAGGAAATTCTTGCTGTGTATTCCTTGCCCAAGTGTTACTAAACTCTTTTCTCACGTGTCTTGGGTAAGGTAAATTAGAGCCAGCACTGTGAGAGGACCGATTTGGGGGAGGATGTGAACGGACCCTACTCAATAAAGGCTGCAGTGGTGTCCTTGTAACCTGGAAAGCGAAGGAGGGTGTGAGACTCATTTCAAACTACTTTGAAGTGTTAAAAAAAATAATAATACATACATCTCCATGCTCTCAGTTGGTCCTCCCCGACCACGCTACTAGGCCTCTCAGAGGTAAAATGTCACAGGGGCTTTTCAGTTGTTACTGAGCGCAGCAGCTGTGGTGGCTCCTATTCTACACTGATTGCAGTTCAATAAAGTTGTTAACTTTGCAATCTGGTGCTGGCTTTTCCTTTCTCACTGCAAGACTCCTGGTCTGTGTGTGTGCGTTTCTTGGTTTCTGTCTTGTTGAGACAGGATCTCACTATGCAGTTTCAGCTGACCTTGGGCTCGCTTGTAGCCCAGACTGGTCTCGAACTTGCAGCTTGCCTCCCAAGTGCTGGGATTGCAGGCACGTCCTACCAGTCTTTACTCATGCACACAGGCATGTCTGCACACACAGCCCACAGCACAGTGCTGTCTGATACCCTCATGTAAGTTATTTTCCCAGGGCATATTGGCTTGTGTGAGGGCTGGCACGATAGTTAAGCAGACTAAGCACCTGCTAAGGCAAGCACAGAGACCAGGGTTGGATCCCCAGCACCGTGTGCCATGCCAGCCCCACCCCTGGGCATGCTAGGCCAGCCACTGAGTCTGGGCATAGTGGCACACACCTATAGTCCCAGCACTGGGAAGGCTGACAACAGGAGGATCAATATGAATCTGAGCTGCGAAGTGAGACCCTGTACCAAATACATTAAAATAATAATAAAGCTAGAAAAAGATGTTAATTGTGACTCTAGGAAACAGGAACAGGGTATTTGCCCCAAGACCCTGCCTGTAGGACGTGTCCTCCAGGGCAACGTCACAAAGGGAACAGGACACCAGCACCGTTCATCAGATGTCCCTGTTGGTCACATTTTCTATGTATCATCCATTTCTCTTTACCACCTGTTAACCTTTTTGTCATTCAGGTACACAAACTGAGGCTTAGAAAAGAAACTTCTCAACCACACAGCTAAGAAATGACAGTGTCCCGGCCAGCCTGCCTTCTCCACACTGCCCTCCTGTCTCTACAAAGGGAAAAACTCTTCGAAGTGCCAATTCCAGTTACAGACTAGCTAAACCCTTTTGATTCCAAAGAGGTACACTGTAGGGGGTGCGGTGTCTTGTAGCGGGTTACTCCTGGCAAGTTAGTTTGTCTGAGGTAATAAAGTAAGTTTGATGAGATCAAAACACTGAGAACAAGTTGTTAATTCTCTGCTGGTTTTGAATATTTTCCATCTTCATGGGGTGTTCAGAGGGAGCGGTACAGGTAGAGGTAAGGGATAAAGAGTATACTCTTGTAGTATTGTCTTCATATTATATTAAAAGGTTCTCTCATGATAACTACATAACAACCATTGTTAATTTTCTATTGTTTAGAAATTCTGTACTAGTTTTATTTTGTTGCTTTGCTTTTGTCTTTATTTTTTTGTGTTTAAAATTAAAAAATAAACAAATAAATAAATAAAAGGTGCTCCCAGAACAGACTCCAGCTCTAGGGGGTGCCCAGTCAGAATTAGACGTAAGCGCTCTACTAACTTAGTGACCTCCAGTTACTAAAAGTTTTATGAAGGACTATTGTAGGAGAAAAACAAGCAAGCCTCAGCTAAGCACTGGCATTCAAAGCTTAGGACACTTGCCCGTGGGGACTGGTTAGCTTTATGAGGAGCCTTGAGGATGAATGAGCTCTGAAGGTTGTCACTGTGTCCCCAGCCCTGCAGCCCTTCCCCCACCCAACATCTGCCATGGCATTCACCCCATAGTGCTCCACGTCCTCAGCTCTAAAATGAAAGCATGCCAGTGCCTCCTTCCCCCTTCGTCCTCCTCCTCCTCCTCCTCCTTCCCCCTTTCACCTCCTCCACCTCCTCGTCTCCTCCCCCACCTGGTGCTAGGGAAGAAGTTTCCTTATGGAAAGCACCTGATAGTACTGAGAAACATAGCTATGAGAATTAGGGGTTGTCTGTCTGCCCAGTGCAATTAGGAGTGTTTGTTGAAACACTTTTCCAGATAGGTTGGGCCAGGAGCCTGGCAGAGGCGCAGCAGGTGGCTCTGGTATTTTACAGTTGCTTAATAGTCAAGCTGAGGGTCAGATGATTCTACTGTGGGTGACAGTGAAGATGTGTCATTTTTACCTCCTGCCTACCTGATGGAACTGACCAGCCAGGCTGGTTTTCTTACTGTAATTAGGTAGTTAGTATAATGTGGACATTTAGAGATGGACAAGAGAAACTATCCAGACCTGTTGAAGGCAGGAAAATGCTTCCTAAAAGTGAGCCAGTGTGTTGGGAGCCAGGGCTTCAGAGGGGCTGATGCCTTTTGTATGTCATGAGTTCTGTGTGGACGTACAGAATCCCATGGTGTTTGCGGCAGCCTGAACTACCTGAGCACTCAGTTCCTGCCGTGCCCACTCTACCTCTGTCACATAGCCCTTCCCTCAGGTTCCCCAGGCCACACTGCTCCTCCCACCAGAGCCCCAACAATCCAGGGAGCTCTGCACCTCCAGTGCTACCCATCTCCTACAGGGACCCCTGAGGTGAGTCTCCAACCTCCTGCTGGGTACAGCACACAGTGAAAGAGAAAGAAAGAGTAAGTGACAAAATGGTGCTTCCAGCTTGACCAGTTAGTCATGAGGAACAAGAGGTCACAAGGCAACCAGAACTTTGATCAAGAGGGGGGAGGGATTATTGGATGACTCAGTGGGTGGAGAGGATCTTGGGCTCAGGGGGATCTTGCCCCGGAGTGTCTACGGGACATCATGGGAAATCTCAAGAGGGTGATATCAGTAATCCTAAGGCTCCATGCATCCCTTAGGGAAGTGTGCAAAATTAGCCATTGTACCTTTGCAGTCCCCAGCAGACCCCCCCTTCCCTGTCCAGATTGTCCTCACCACTCTCCTTGCCAGACTCACTCGGGTCTCCCTGATGCTCTCTTTCTCCTCCTTTGTACTCCTCTTTTGTAGTACTCACGTGGCAATTTCTGGATACCAACCAACTGCAGAATGATAGCATTAGAGACCACCTTGCTCACTAGGGTCTTCCCCGCCCCTAACTTAGTGCCTGGCGTATACAAGGCACTAGGTAATTTATGGAAAGAATGAATGAGGGAGACTGTTCCTGTAGGCCGTATTTAAAATGGATATAGCCACCAGATTTGGAATACAGCAAGAACTCATCATTCTGGTTTCTGAGCTACTTTCTCTTCCCAAGGTCCTGATGTAGGATTTGGTTAACAACAGCTGATTGGAGGGTCCAGGGAGCTGGCTCAGTAGAATAAATGCTTGCCTGGCAAATGCAAGGGCCTGAGTTCAATCCCTGGTTCCGCCAAAAAAAAAAAAATGGCCTGTTGGGAATCTGGCCATAGTTAACTACCTGGACCTTTATTAGAACATTTCTTTCCAATATTAGCTTTCACACTTGGTACCTCCAGTGGTTTATAGTGCAATATGAAATGAGACCATTTTAATACTTTTCTATTTGTTATAACTGACAGATGGGTTCTGATCTCATCCTAATACTTTTAATTGCTCTCTCTCACTTCTCAAGGACACAGTGGAGAATAACAGTCTAAAATGGTGTGTGATTTTCCATCATCATTAAAGCATCTCTAGCCTGACAGTTCAGTTCTTTAAATCCAGTGTGTGTGTGTGTGTGTGTGTGTGTGTGTGTGTGTTGCCATGTATTTCGTGCCTAGCACTGTGCCAGTTTCCAAGCAGGCATCCCAGAGTCCTCTCATTTTCCTCGGGATGCCTGCAATGGCAGAGCCAGCGACAGTATCCAGAGCCACTGCCTTCATTCTGCAGAAGCTGAAGTGGGGGTGCCCAGTGACAGCACGTGAGACCCTGCATGCTTGCACACTCTTCCTTGGTAGATCTGAAAGCAGCCTGGCCACAGCAGCTGCGCCACGGCACGGGCAGAGGGCCCAGGGCTTCTGAGTATGGAGTCGGTGGACAGCCTGGCTCTGCCACTCAGCGGCAGAAGACTGCAGGGGGGTTTCTGAAGCCCTCTGCCCTCCGTTTCCCACCTGTGGATGCCACAGCAGCCACCTCAGAGGTGGCTGGGAAAGCGTGTGTAGAGGTGGATGTACTTTCACTGCATATGTTCAAATTATTTCTCTCCATCTTTTGAGTTTGGAAGGTTTTATATTGCAGTATACTTGACAAAGCATCCTGTCAGGACTGAACAACTCTGTTGGGTTGCTTTAGGTTTTGGACCAGCACTGATGGAGCTCCCTTGGTGGACATAAACACAGCCCAGCATGCACCGAAGGCTCTGCCCCTGGGTTCTCTGTGAATCTTCTCAGGCACATTCACTTCTCCTGGCATCTCGGCCCTCAGGAGCCTATGCAGTGTTAGCGCCATTGTTCCAAACTTGCACTCACCTTTGACTATTTTCTCTGCCCTCTTTGCCTGTTTTTTACATAAAATACATTTTTTGAAAGAGGGGGTTTTGTGAGCCTAAGTACTTGGTTACTAGGGCACAATTGGTTACGAGGGGGATGAACACAGTGCATCCAGATAAGATGCTTTGGGAGAAAGGGGCTGTTGTGAAAACAACTCCCTTTTACATCTATAAGTGCATCCTTACCCAGATAGAGCTCATTTAGATCATCTTTCTTAAAGAGCACCAAGGGGTCTCTAGGGGTCTCGTGGCCACCTGAGCTACAAAACTCTGCAGCTGACAACAACTGTAAGGAGACACTGGGGACTGTTGGTAAAGCCACCTTGCTATCCACCTCTCTCGTCTCCCGGCCCCAGTTGCCAAATCTGTATTGCTGTGGTAACCAATTATCCCCACCCACCTGCTCCTCCCTGCTCCAGGCTCTTCCTGCCTAAATGTACTCTCCCCGCCCCAGCTGCCTGGAGTGCACTCAGCTCACCCCCCTACCTTGTCCTTGGTCGAAGACCATTTGATTTACAGCTGGTGAGAAAGCCACACCACCATCTATGAGCCCAAAAGCAAAGTAAAAAGTCTGGGAAGTGAAGTAGAAAGGGCTCTGTAGTGTCAGGGGAAGAAGAAGAACGTGGA